GAAACATTTCAAAATACTATGATGCAAATGGTACTAGCGCAAACATCACTTCATGTAAGTAAAGGCTGAATTGACATTGATTCTATGTTACAAAAGTAAATATTAATCAGGTTTTAATTGGTTGTGATTTCTGACATGTGCTCCTGCTCATGGACCCTAATTCAAACAGCAATTGTTAGTCTGTCATTAAAGTGATACTCATAGATTCAAATAAAAAATGCAGTTTGGCAAAATAGAAAAGTATTTATTATTATTATATGCATCTATCAATAAATTATTCTTTTTGTACTTAAAATTGTAGACAAATTGGCAGATGTCACAGCCTGGATTACGTCAACCAAATATCAGTGAAAGCAAAGGTAGAATCAATAGCAATTATCAATGATAATAATTATTGTTTGTGTCAATATACTAGTATACATGATGACATGCTAATTTCAACTCCTATATTCATACAGCACTTAGTCAAATGAGTACAGATGACTGCATAGCTGCACTGAAGTTGATTGGCCTTGAWAATCATTCCAATCAATTCAGAAAAATGCAAGTGGATGGCCCTATGTTAGAGGCCCTTATCCATCCACACTTAGGGCAACAAATCATGCTATCCCTTGGTATAGAAGAGGAAAGGGAACGRCACATACTCTTTGCTGAAGTGCACAGGTTAAAGGCAGATGGTTACAACAAGTCCCACACCACAAGCACACTGACAGATTAAGGAAATAAACAATCTAGCATATCTCAAAAGATTTAGGTTTTGTTGCTTTACTTGTTATCAGTACTGAAAGATACAGATTTTCAGGAGTTCACATACAAAATAAATGGTGAAAAAAATGTTTATATATATTTAAGTTTAAAAACTGTGCAATCATTACATTGGTAAAATTCAAGAATTTTGTTTATCACTTTGTGAAGTTTTTTTTTAATAATTTGAAAATACCACATCCACTGACCACATTAGACCACTCTGTGGATTATCAACCAACTTAAAAGTGACTGTTTAATTGACTTATACTGTTGGGTTATTCAGTATTTCATCCTTTGTTTACAATACTATTATGTACAATAAAATTAATAAACAATAATAATTCAACAGTTCAGTACTATTCAAACAAGATATAATTCTTGAAGCTGCRACTACAGWGAYGGTATTGCATGTMAAATGTAACCACAGTCCATAAATGTAGCTGCACAGTCTTGAATCTGAAGAAATATACAAAATAATGCATTTCAGAAAAGTGTTATTATTTGAATTTCATTTGCTAGTTCTGCATTTTCATGTAATTCAGTAACAGTGAGCTCTGAAAGAAAAAGGTCTTTATTTGTGTTTATTTCCAGACTATATATAACTGTATATTATATAACCTACATTGTGTAAGGCTATTTCAAAACACCTTTGAGGATATTTGTCAACAATATCTTGATGCCTCCGAAGCCAAGCCTTGGCATGACTAAAGCACTCTTCAATAGGATTCATATCAGGTGAATAGGGGCTATGTCATAGAAAAAGTATTAAAATTCACATATTAGTGCTGAAAAGATGTAAGGCAAAGGGAAGCAACATGCTCACTTGAATGTGCTAGTCTATTTAGTTAGAAAAATGTAATGTCTATAAATTTCCCCATTACCCTTCATTGATGTACATGATCAATCCAACATTCTTCTTTGAATTAGGTGCAGAAAAGGTTGCATGGCAGCATTACATAATATATGCAGCATAATTTAAAATTTATTACTTTTCAACAAGAGTTGCAGATTCATTCAAAAATAAAAGATTTATATCACTTACGGTAAAAACAACACAATTCCTCCTTTGGATCTGATCATTCTCAGGAATTYCTGAGAACGGTGGATGGGACAGTTATCCAGGATTACAATAGAGCAATCRTCACCATTTGCAAAAGAACCCACTAAGGGAGCTACAAATGYTTCTATGGTAAAYTCAAAATTAGTCTTATCRAAGGCTCCAAMAATTGCATGTGCAGCCTGTACTCCATGTATGGATACAGCACCCAGAACACTGAATCTTGAACCACGTGTGAAGTTGCCCTTTCTTGAAACACGAGTCCCCCCAAGGGAAYGAGCAAACTTCCGCTGTGCAAATTAAATAGTGAGAATATATTGCAATTGCAAGACAGACAGTTTGTGGAGTTGAAAGTCTAGATAACAGTCATTACACAATACGCAATTGAAACCACTAAAACTGTGCAAAAGACTGCTAAATTATGCTAAGTCTAGTGTTTAATTAGCAATATTTTGTAGTAATACTGCACTTTTAGTGTTTGTACTCTAATTTATCAGGGGAGTTAATGCTTTCCAGGCACTGCTATTCCCTGCTATTCACAGAAGGAGTACTTTCTTTGTGTGCATTTCTAATTCCTCACATTATAAAATGAATGGAGCTGCATTAAATAATTGTTGTACCTGAACAGTTCTGTCATCTTTGGCTGATTCATCAAGGAATAGAAACTGCTCAACACGGAATTGAGAGACAAGCCTTCTGTAGGCAGCACGCTGGAGTTCATTACGTTGACGTGCAATAATTTGCATCTAGAAACAGGTGATTGTGGTGATGAAACGAAACTATATAGGCTTAATTTACAAATGATTCAAATAACCATAAAATTTAAAGACAAAAGAGAAAGATAAACAATTAGGCTTTRGTSTATGYACATGCAATCAATCCAGATAATATACAAATAATTTCAAAATACAAACCTTTTTCCAAGTGATCCCCATTTTATTCAAGTATCTGTCAATCGTCGATATGTGCAGTCTTGTTCCAGTCGAATGCTCAAACCACTGTTGTATTTCATCGAGGAACAGTTCTGGATTTTGATCAACAATACGTCTAAGGATAAGCAATTCTGCAGCTGAAGAATGAAAATATCTATAAGGTTACTAACTTACTATTTTTCTATAGCGTACACGAGTTTGTCAAGTTTAGCCGGAATATTGCCTTAATAAAAATTAACTTTATACGCACTTTACGGTAATTTGTCCACTTTGCATTACATGTACCTATAGTTACCTGATAATAATCGTTCCTTTGACTTTCTTCTTGGAGGATCCTTCACCTCTAAAGTATTTTCGTAAAGCTTATTGACTTTTCTCACATGTCGTTSAGAAACACAGAGCGTGTCAGCAATGCTTTGATGCATCATCCCTCTCCTTCTTAGCATAACAATTCTCCATCTCAGTGCATCAGGTGTCGGTTTGACCATCTTTTACATTGTAAAAATATAGGTAGGCAAAACTATATGTAGGCTTACGAACTCTTCAGGTTCTTTTATGTATTCTTCCACGAGTCAGCAGTCGACAAACAAGAAAAAGTCTTGGCGCGAAATGTGCGCGAGCGTGAAAGCGCGTAACCATAGCAATTCATTTGATTGACGTCCACCAATTTCATTTTTCGGACCGAAAGTTTTGTCTCGAATCGGCACGTGTGACTGAGAACGCCTGTAAGTACCTGGGACATATCATTTCTTTCGATGGTATAGAAACGGATCCTGACAAGATAAGTGCAATCAGAGAGTGGCCAGTACCGCAAAATCTGGACCAGCTTAGAACGTTTCTCGGTTTCTGTGGGTATTATAGAAAGTTTGTTCCTGCGTATTCCAAACTTGTTAAGCCTTTGAATGACCTCGTGACGATCCTGCTCGGGAAGCAAGCGAAGGGTAAGAAACAACATAGAGCTGAAGCATGGAGGTGGTCAGATGACTGTCAGTCTGCCTTTGATGGCGTTGTTCAGATTTTGTCTTCACCAACAGTTCTTACATACCCTGATTTTAGATTGCCATTCATCGTCAACACARATGCTAGTCACGAAGGGTTAGGTGCAACGCTAAGTCAAGTCCAAGATGGAACAGAGAAGGTAATATCCTATGCTAGCAGAGCTCTTCGAAAGGCAGAGAAGAATTATCCCGCGCACAAATTAGAATTCTTAGCTTTGAAGTGGGCCGTTACAGACAAGTTTCATGACTATCTTTATGGCCATCGTTTTACAGTAAGAACGGATAACAATCCTSTGACATATGTGGCAACTACTGCTCGACTCGATGCAAGTGGTCATCGTAGGTTGGCGTCTTTGGCTACTTGTGATTTCAATATCGTATATCGCTGTGGAAAGAAGAACCAGGATGCCGATGCATTGTCTCGCCGACCCCACAGTGTAGACGAACAGGAAAAAACGATAACGAAAGAGGAATTGGTCGCACTGTCATATGGTATCGTTACTAGTGATAAAATCAAGGAAACATCCCTGTTGGAAAGTTTCTGCATGAGTGAAGTTGGTGTTAATATGGTGATGGGTGTGGATGAGATTGAAGGAATGTCAAACTTGCCATCTATCATCGTTAGATGAGTTGAAAATGCGACAAGAAAGTGATCCGGTTGTGGGAAGAGTGATTGAACTTCTTAAGACGAAGGGAGMTTCTAGCCGTTCTGATTGGTCGAAGGAATAGAAAGAGGTACGGTATTATTTTAAAGAGTTGGTGCGCTTACGTATAGTTGATGACGTGTTGTATCGTGAACGTGATGATGATGGTCGACGGACGACCCAGTTGGTGGTACCTGAGTCCCTAAAGG